TCGAGGACGAGGCCGTAGTAGAGCTCCAACCAAATGTAACACCAAGCCGCCTCCAAATTCTGCACATGGCCGCGCGCTTCTGCTCCCTGTACAAAGGCAAGTCGGTGATAGAGATTAGTGAAGAGCAGGACACGGAGACGTACCAGCGAGCCAAGTCATCTTGGCGGTGCAGGAGCTCCGCGACTTACCTGTGCACCATACTCAAACAAGTCGTCGTTAGAGAAGGGAACACAAATAACATAATAATAAAATAGAAGTTAACCATGTCATTAAATGCCCACCGAGCTTTTCCACGATTCGATGTTCCCACAATGGTACGATACAGTCAAAAATTTCCCTGATTCTCCTCTGAAATTTCTGTTTTTTCAGAGCCTTCCCTCGATTGGACGGGAAATCATTCGATGCGGAAGAAGCGAAAACCGTACACGAAGTATCAGACGTTAGAACTAGAAAAAGAATTCCTCTACAATACCTATGTGAGCAAGCAGAAACGATGGGAATTGGCACGAACACTTGGCCTTACCGAACGACAAGTGAAAATCTGGTTCCAGGTACGGAAGTAAAAACCTTTTCTAGAGGAAAATATTGAACGTCCGCAGGATTGGAAATTGTTTGCCAAACATATTTGTACATATTCGTTTATAGCCGTTCAAGAATCGGGATTCCAGAAAATTCTGTCGCTTTTTAATTTTTAATTCGAAATGAAGATTCAAAATTCATATCTCATAGACAAAAAGACAGGTATCGAAGTAAAAACCCTTACGAAACGTTCTCAAAAACAAAATGAGCTTAATTCGACATCTATTTGCTGGCACTGTGGAGTTGATGAATTAGTGGAAGGTCGTCCCAGCATCACGTCGCTTCTGAGCGCCCGCTTCTTTCCTTCCAGGGAAGCTATCCATGGGCCTGAATAACTAGTAGTCGGTAGGCAGAGATCAACAGGAATGAGATGGTAGCAGCAAAGATTTGTGGCAGCTAAACAGTTGAAGTTGTAGAGGATTAGAGTTATGTTTTTATCCTCCCAGAAAAGTCTGGTGCCCATTTGGGAAGCAGCGCCACTTGCCATTAAACAAATTCTGCTCCCGGACCTGCATAAAGGAATTAATTGTCCAAAATTTCAATGTGATTGGGCTCACTGGCTCACCGCGAATTCCAGCCTAGGTGTTAGGCAGACTCGGGTGCACGACCCTGAGGCTCGCTGCACTGTGCTCTTTATCTTTGATCAGGACCCACAGTAATCCTTATCCTACTCATCTTTTTCTCTCCTTGAATGTAGCGACTGGGACTCGACCTCATCATACAGCCGAGCGAAGCAATGAATTTTTTGTTTATAAAATGAGTTCTCACAACAAATCAAAAATGATCTTCCCAAAAGATACCCTCGTTTCGGAGAACGAGAAAAGCGTTGAGTGCCAGACCATACACCACAAGTTACGACGGCCAAGAAAAAGGAACGAAGAAGCTTTTTTTCTTGGCCGTCGTCACTTGTGGTGTGTGTCTGCAACGACGCTCTTCTCGTTGACGAATTGAAGGGTATGTCGGCCTCCAAACTGACAAGATCTTTGCGGCTTGATCCTGTTATTGAAGTTT